AGGCGGAGTAGGAGGATGTAGAGGCCTGCTGTTGTCCAGGCGGGGGCTGGGGTGGGTGTTAGTGTTTTTGTACTGTATTGGATTCTTATGAGTCTGTAATTTCTTTTTCGGTTATTTGACTCCAAGAACTTAGGTGCGATTGGCTTCCTGGACTTGTAGACCTCGCTCTTCAAAATCCAAAATCCTTCTGCAACATACAACAAAACAAAATATCCAAAAACAGATATAGATATCCCCCCTCCCCTACAAAGACAAGAAAGAAAGAAAAAAGAAACACATACCAAAAATCAGTAACGAAATCTGCATCGTAAACATACTCCTAGAATACGCACAATACCTCGCCGCAATCCTCGCAATCCACCCCAGCATCTCACACCCCGCGCCCACAACAAAGAGTCCCTGCCATGCGGTTCGATACCGCACCGCTTGGAAGAGATGTCCCACTGCAGAGAGCAGGAAGAGGATCGTGAATGTGATGCCTGGGGCGAGTGAGGGATGGTAGCCGAATGCGTTCGGGTATTGTGGGTTGTAGGGAGCGCAGGAGGGGGGGTGGGTTGACATTGGGGTGTGTGATGGGGAAGAGGAGGATTTCATATGGATGGGTTGAGGGATTGAATATAGTAGGGAGGAATTTCCCTTTACTCTTTACGAGTATCATAGAAGGAGGAGAGAAGAGAGGGTATATATATTCCCTCCTCCTCCCATTTACCTCCCTCCATCCATCCATTCCCCACAAGAAACAGAACGGACAAACAACCCACCGCACCCCCAAAACACAAAAGTCGAAAACCACAGACCCTTCAAACGAAAAAGAAGGGAAATCATTGATACCTCCCCCAAAGATATGATCCGCTACGACTATGCGCCAGAAATGCCCAGCCCAGCTCCGGAACAACGTCAGTGGGATTCGCATTCGCTTATGCGCCAATGAGGGATGTGGATGGATGCGCGAAGCGGGAGAGCGCGTCATTATGTCGAGGCGAGGTCGAGCTGAGATGTAATTAGGGAACTAGATAATAAGTATGGGTAGAATGAGATGTAGGATAATGGAGGTACTTTTTTGGTTTTAGGAGATGGGGAGGATTGGATGGATTTCTATAATGAAAAGGTATAATAATAAGGGCTCCTATTTCATTCACATAAAGCCTAAAAAGTTATACTCTAGAGACTAGAAATATAAACCCTTCGACTATTTCCCTATTTCCCTATATGCCTATATCCCTATATCTATCACTCTACCTAGCGTTCGGCACTTGGAATACGATTCCAAGGATTCCAAGATTCTATTCCAAGGTAGAATATTCTAAAGGCTCTTTAGTTTGGAATTTAGAATTCTAAAGGATATGTATATATTACTTTTCAACGAATCAAAGAGCTCTATTTATTATAAAGTAAGGACTGAAATTATCGTTATTACCTACGCCTAAATAGTATCTCTAAAGCCTAAATCTCCTCTTCTATTAATTCTTCTAATATATCCTTAGATATAATACTCTAATTATAAAGAGAAATAATCAAAGTAGTACTAAGGCTAAATCTAGACTTCTTATTCGTCTCTTAAACTAGTAGAGAATACTAGCGTAGTAAATTCGAGTAGTTAAGTTAAGTAGTAGTATCTAATTAACTTAACTCGAGTAGTGTGACGACACGTACGATATGTTGCTCAAGGAGCGTCCAAGGTGTAGGTTATGGAATCGTAGAACTGTCTATTCGAAGATTCTAAGCTAAGGAGAGAAGAGAAGGATGGACAGAAGCTCAAGAGCCAGAGGCTCTTAAATACAGGAGGTGGCGCCAAGGGCCATGCCTTAGCCGAGTCTCAGCCAGGGGCTCGTTTGACGCATGGTGGCCGCCGGGTTCCAGCCAGGGCTGGTCTGTAGCGTGGTGGCGGTGAGAACCGTCACAAGTAGTAAAATTCGCTATTTAACTTAACTTATTAAGTACTCGATTAACTTATAAGTAACTCGAGTAGTATTAGTCTAATAGCTTATAGCGCGCCCGGCCTCGCTAACTAGCCTCCGGTTAGTTCTAGTAGGTTAGCCTATATACGAGAACTTAGCTAAGTACCCCTTTATTAGATATATTATATTAATTAGATTATAAAATAACATTCCTTATTAAGATAATATACGTATATTATATATAGATCTAAAAGTTAGTAGGATCAGTATCCTATAATTCTAACTAATTAGAGAGCTAGAATCTAAAATTAATACTTTTATATTAATCTTTTTACACTTATTTTAGTACTACTATATACTCTAAAAGACTCGGAATTTCAGGGCTAAACTTGTAAAAGTATATTTAATATTCGGTATAGAAAAAAGTAGGACCTATTTACCCTTCTATTACTCGCTTAATCTATAACTAACCCCTTATAGCTACTTCTTAGAACGATTTTAGAACCTATTCTGCGTCTTACTTTTCCTATAAGAATATACCTAAATTATGAATATAGAATAGGTTTAAATACATAGAAGATTAGATAAGGTTAGGGGTAAAATATAAAGGCTAGGAGTAGCGGGGAATATAAACCCTAAAAAAGTAGGGCAAATTTAATAATCAAGATATTACTTTTTTTGGCGTATAAGGTTCATATTAGTCCATGGACAGACTTTTTATATGTAATATATTATCTTGTAAACCAATAAATACGGTATACTATTTTCTCATATTATAGTCACGTTATATATAACTACTCGAGTGCTACTCGAATAGTCAAATCCACTACTCACCTCAACTCAACGGAATCACCTATAATCATACTCATTCAACACAACTCGATTAGTACTCGAGTCGGGTTGAGTATTTGATTAGAAGTGTTACCACGCTGGAGAACACCTGTTTTACAGATTCACGTGAGAATTCCAACTAGAATTCTAAATATTCTACCCTTGGTCCCTTGAGAATAGAATATTCTATAGAGGGGTCTTGGAATGGAATTACAAATGTCGAACGCTGACTCTATCACTCTACCCCTCTACCACTCTACCCCCCTTACCCAAGAAAATCTCTTTTGACCCCTCCGTACTCTTCATTTTACTCCCTCTTCCTCTCTAAAACATCATATAGAAATCAGAAATTGAAAAGCACAAGACCAACACAATACTAGAAACCCACAAAGAGAAAACTCCGTACCTATAAAAGGGTGTCTGTCGGTAACCAGAATCTACTGTAAAGAAGAAGAAGAAATCTATCAAGGATGTCTTATTTTAAGAGCGAAAACAAAAATATACAGCAGAAGGAAATAGACAGGAAAAAGACATGTAAGAAAAAGAAAATAACACTAATTATAAGTTGAAGGAAACTTTCAAAAACCTTCTATTGTATCACTGAAACAATCAGAAGCCTCCGAAGAAGGTCTTCCTTTAAACATCTCGTCCCCAAAGAAAAGAAGAAGAAAATCAAAGTATATACCTAAACCCCTCCCTCCTCCCCTCCCCCCTCTCCCCAATCTTCCCATACCCCCCCTTTCCCTCC